TTTTTTTTGTGCAAATGCTGAGCTTAAGAGGGTATTTCAGTAAATTTGCTGATTCTAGGCAGAATCAGATTGGTGTTACAAAATTCTGATTAGTTTTTAAAAAAATTACTTTAAAAAGTTTTTTTTAATTCATCAGATATGTTTGATTCTAGGGCTTCATTGTAGCCCATAATACATGGGAGTCAGATGAAAAATGTGACTCTTCTCACATTTGTCAATCCACATGTGAGTTAGAATTCTGCCCTAGCACAGAAATTCAAGATTTTATCTTTAAAAATAAATAAATAAATTCCTAATTAGTTGTTCTCTTAATACAAGAAAGCTGCTAATGTTAGAAAATGAGATCGTAATGAAGCTGTTTAGTCAAACGGTCCAATTTAAGATGTTTTGCAGGTACAGAGATGTCAAAGAGGAAAGAAATAATTTGGAACTGAAGATGAAATAATTGCTGTGATTATTACATTTGAGTAAGATCTGTGTGAATGCAGAGTGCTGTACGATGGAGAACCGATTTTCGTGGCTTGAACTTGTGTTATAAAATTCTGGGGGAGGCAATCTCTCACGAGTATCTCCCGAGTGGCTGCAGTTGATTACCGGGTTGCTGTGGTAACGGATGAAGGCTTGCCCGGTTGAACACCCTCTAAGCACAATGGTATTTTCAGTCTGGGGCTTCAAATGAGACCTATCATCTTGGCTGCTTTGTTGTTTACGTTAATTATCTGCCTGTCGATTCTCTGAGCAGAGCCGCAGGTGAGGCTGCTTAACCCTATGTTTTCAGCCATATATATACAGCTTTCTGTTGCCCCTTGAAGAAAGCTGACCTGCAGTGGGAACTGGCCCAGTTACTGTTCTCTGTGAAGTGGCTGAGCCCTTATATTGCCGTTCAGATCTCATTCTGTTGAAATGCTCCTGGGGAGGAGGGGAGGATGCCACTGGGTGACAAAATGTTGTGCGCGAAACAGGAGTAATAACAGCATCAGTCACGGTTTTGGATGAAGTTTACATTTGAATGTGGCTGTTTGCCTCACTTGTGAGGAATGGAGGCGATGTTAAAGATCTGCCTTTTGTTAGTGATGTGCAAGAGAGTGAGAGGTCAGCCAGAGACAGAGCTGAAATGTGAAACTTGTGAAGGGTTAAGCTTCCCAAGAGAAGATCTTGCATCACGTATGACAGATTTTTCCAGGCTTTGCTTCACAGGCTGCGAGCACGCTCTGTTTGTGGCAATTGGAGTATTAAGCACAAGAGAGGCCACTCTGACTCTTGCCCAGAATAGAGGTTGTGGTTTGTAGGGGTTTCCTGCAGCAGTCTGTAGTTTCTGAAAAGCAAACCTCAACCTCATGCCTCAGTGTTCGTGTGCTAGTATTCACTTCAATTTTAATATGTTTTTGTTGCTGTTCCTGGTGCCTTATCTGTCCTTGTATCACTTTGACTTGGAGCTCTCCCTCTGCAGCATCCAGTCCTCTCGCTGTTGTAGGAAGAGTCCAAGAGCCCGTCTGGGGCCTTGGGTCCAGCTCCAGGGAACGGGTAGGGGTGATACGGCAGTACTGTGATTCCAAGTCTGTGATACCAAAACCAGCAACATTCCTGCCTGTCAGTATTGCATTGTGATGTGGTATCTGTGACAGCAGTCTTGCCTTATCCTGTGCCGTGCGCTATGAGACCTAATCTGGTCCTTCACTGTGCCGTCTGACCCTCCTGAGCCTCTGCCTTCCCTTCTTCCACCTTTTTCCCCAGTTACACGTTTGTGAGGAGGAGCTAGAGGTTGGCTGTGTTCCATGCCTTTCTCAGCAATTATCTGCATAATTTCTTCAGCAAACTTTGGACCAGAACAGAGCTGTCATGTAGGTGAGAGAAGGAGGTGGGCCACCAGCCCTTGAAAAGAAGTGGTCAGGTGGTGCTTTGTTTTGGAACCCTGTAGACTGCAACTTCCATTATAGAGTCAAGCCCCAAGGACACATCTCTCCACCTACAGAGATCTGATCTGCTGGAGGATGGGCATGGGGCAGCGAGATATTAGTGAGCCCAATCCTCCCCACTCAGCACTGGTTTGGTTTTTTGTATTTGCATCAGGAAAGAGTAAACTGTTACCCGTCTCTAACAGGTACATCTGTGAATGTATGGGGGAGAAAAAAGTTGGCACCTGCCCCAAAACAAACAGTAGGGGGTAAATAGTAGGTGAATTTGATGGGGTGGATGAAAGGTGCATAACGAAACAAGGAGGTGGTATCTGGGCTGACCACCATGAATTGGCTGTGTTTCAGTGGAGTCTAGAGAGCTATCCTTTCACAAGCTTCTCTGTCTGTTGAGCTCTTGGGAATAAACTGCCTTTGTTCCCAGCTGTACTGAAATGTTTATTCATTAGATTTTAAGAAAGAAAGTCAAATCTCATGTTCCTTAATCAGTGTTGGTAACTGAATATTATTTAATTGATTAGTCAATACCTGTTAGTGTGATAAGCCAGCAGAAACCTGCAGTGACAACAGCCTTCAGCTTATGTATTCAATCTGTAAATTATTAATAACTACTATTGATCTCCAACTGATGAAATATTTGTCTTTTTTGAAAAGCAACTTTTTTTTTTCTTTAACGGGTAAGCTATATTTATTTAGGTAGTTTTTGCCTGTTTTTTTTCAGGAGCCAATCTCTTTTTGCATGTTGATTGAAGGTGTGGTCCGTGTTTGCATACCATGACTGTTTTCTGTATTTTGTTCTTCCGTGATATCTTCAAATATTTGTGAGCGTAGTCAAAGCAACTGATCCAGCCAGATGTTTCTGCAGTATAATTTCCTCACTAAGGAATTATGGAAATATCTTTATCAGTGTCGCTACTGTTTTTTTCACTAACACTTCTGTGAAAATCCAAGATAAATAAACCCATGAAGCTAGAAATAAAAGCAGGACAGTGTAATGGTTTAATGGAAACATCTGCTGCTTTTCTTCAGAAAATGTCAAATCCTTTAGATAGATAGTTGTACACCATTGTCTCTATTTTTTTTTTTTTGTTTTTTTACAGATGGGTAAATAAAGAGCTTAAGTGATTTAACTGGCACACTGCAACAGGTTGACTGCAGTGCTGGGAACAGGACTTCTGCTTCCAAGCCACCAGCTGATGACCAGGATGTTCTGTAGCGCCTTTAGTAGCTCTCATTAATATTCTTTCTCTATCCAGGGCTGCTATATTTTTGTCGTTATCATTTCATTCAGTCCTGCCATGCTAGCTTTGGCCATCTGGTTTTCCTGCCAGCACTTTTGCCATTATTTCCGTGGCTGCCTTATGCTTGGAACAATCTGCTTGAACGACTGCTTCTCAAAAACTACATGTACTAGGACACAGAAAGGAAACTGGTTGCCTTCTGATGGTGGCGAGAGACAGAAAGGATAGGTAAATTATGATGTGCAAGTGTGGCTTCTAGCCTGGCCTGTGCTTAACTTTCTTTGTTACATCCTGTTGGTTCACGAGGATGACGCAACCCTCTAGAATATAACTCTTGTCATCCTGCTATAAATTCACTCACACATGGCCAAAGCAAGAACCTCAGTTTGTACAGATCTCATTTTGTGTGCTGAAGTAAAAGGCAGTGATAATCTTAAGAAGTTAATACGTTGTGGGCTGTGTTCTCGCCGTGGTGTGCACCCTGTCTAGTTCCTTTTGTTCCCATACCTACTTGACACACTTGCTGCAGGACCTGATGCTAGTATACCCCCTCCCTGGACGTGTTCAAGGCCAGGTTGGATGGAGCTCTGAGCGTCCTGGTCTAGTGGAAGGTGTCCCTGCTCATTACAGGGGGGTTGGAACCAGATGGTGTTTAAGGTCCTTTCCAACCCTTACCATTCTATGATTCTATGATAATTACGATGAATTATTCATCAGAACTAAAATGAGATGTTCCCTCCTGTATTCCCATTGTTCCCTTGCTTGGTGTCTCAGCTTCAAGAATTATGAGATGGAACAAAAAGTGTAGAAAGAAAATGGAAGAGGAATGAAACAATTTTTTTGGGTAGACTTACCCAAATTTTTTTCATCTTGTTGCCACACACAAGTGCACATTCTGTCTGTTTTGTGTCAGACTATGTGTTCTTCAGGACAAGAAACCTGTGACCTGACTGCATGGGAACTTTGCTAATGTACTTTAAAATACTCAGATGTGGAAAGCAGACACATACAACAAGTTTCAGGAAAACTCTTGAAATTTAGGACAGTCCTAATAAAACTTCACTTCTTCCATTTTTTTGTTTGGCTTATAAAAGATGACGTGCTGATATTAGAATACAGAAAGCGGTCCTCCCCAAGTTCTCTGCCTGGATGACTATCATAACAAGTGCTTGCTTCTGCATCAGAAGAGCTGAGCATGTGGTGCAAAAGGTGCTCAGCACATGTAAAATTTGACCACAAACTGCTTTAATACATGGCTTCCGTTCCATTTCACAATTACTGGGGTTGTTTTAATTCCACCTCATGCACCAGCAAAGCATTTGAATGAAAAATGCAGGATTTGGATGGTTAGCTTGTGACTTGATATGTCAAGTCACAAAAGCCATGAAGTGCATATACAGATGTATTCTTTAATTGTTTTTCTTTTTATCTTTTAGGTCTCTCAGCAGCCAAACTGCTGACTGAGTCAGGCTTGAATGTGGTGGTGTTGGAAGCCAATGACAGGGTTGGTGGAAGAACATACACCATAAGGGTAATTATCTCCGAACCCATTTATACTGCATATGCATACATACAGTATATACTATACATGGGTATAATTATACACATATATGCTGTATGTGTGTATATATATGTATAGTATACATATACTATATGAATAGTGTACAGAAATGTAGTTACTTTGTGCTGAAGGACCTACTTGAGGGAAAATTTCTAGAGCATTAGCAGGTGGGAAATTTCTTGATACTGTACCAGCAAGAGTAG